CTCCCTTCTTGTCTCCTTTCTTGTGGGTCATTGTGTCCGTCTTGTCTGACTGCTTTTGATGTCTCCCTTCTTGGTGGTCATTATGTCCACCTTGTCTCCCTTCTGCTTCCCTGTGTATCCGGTCTTGTCTCTCTTCTTGTTGGTCGTGTGTCCGTTTGGTTTCCCTTCTGTTTCTTGTTGCCTCCATTTTTGTTGGTCATGGTGTCCGTCTTGTCTCTCTTCTGTTTCTTTTCTTCTCCCTTCTTGTTTCTCTTCTTGTTGGTCATTGTGTCCGCCTTGTTTCTCTTCTGTTTCTTTTCGTCTCTGTCCGTTTTGTCTTCTTGTGTTTCTTTTTGTCTCCCTTCTTGTCTCCGTTCTTGTTTGTTATTGTGTTCGTCTTGTCTCCCTTCTTGTTGATGTCTCAAAAAGTGGACTTGGGAATGCTTCGTTGTTGTCTAACCTGTTTGGGGTCTACGGCGGTGTAATGTTTTTCAGGTGTTCTTGTTCGTGTTAACTTTACTTCACCTTTACACTTCTTCGTTTTTCTCGACCGTAGAAGCAGCGAAGAGTTTGGTAGAAGATGGAGAAAAACTGCCCTTAGCACGATGTGAGCGACAAAGAACTGTGGCAGTTGCAATCATCAGGGATCACCCAGGGATGATCAAACTATATAGACAATATATGCTTTTTGGCTTGTTTAAAAATCGCCCTGACCCAGTAGGGTTTTGGACAGATTCACTATACGATGTTCACTACTGGATTGGTTCTGAAAAGTGGTTTGAGCGTTAGTTTCTTGGAACATCCCGTTGGATAGACAGACAGAATGGTTCTGACATGGGTTATGGTAGAGTGCCAGGGCTCCACTTGCTCGATGAACCTGGAATGGACCAGGCGGGCAAGAACCGGGCGTGTTGCATAGGCAAGACGGAGGGTGGCAACTCGAGATCTAGCCGATTCGGGAAACAGAACCACCATTTTCCATGGCTCAACCGAAGTTGCTGGCGAGCAGATTCCCAACTGCTTGCGGCAGTAGCATTGTGGAAAACGAAGGAGTTGAGGAAAAATGTGAGCGCTTGATTGAAAGGGAAATTGTAAGATGTCTGGGAATAGGCAAATTTCTTGTTTTTTGCAAACATGCACAAAGATCATAAGTCATCTGGGTGACAGGTGCATGAGGTTGAGTTTACTAAAGTTTCTAGCGGTTGAACCAGGAGGATGTCCAACAATGAGAATCACCCAAACAAACAACGTCCAACAGCCACCATCCCCGGATCAGGTGCCCCGCCGAGAATCCTTTGTTGGAGGCGCGAAGCGCAGAAGCGAGATGCGGAGCGGCGGATTCCGGCGGATTCCGATCCTCACGACCACTGGGCGCTTTGTTTCTGACTCTTTTACCTGAAACGAAAAGTGACCTTACAATCTGCAGGTATTTGCTTTAGAGTGAATCCAAACCTGTTTATGGTTTCATACGACTCACTTCATGAGTTCACTTTATTTATCCGGGTCGATCGTTGCGATTGTTCTGCGAGGGGCAAAATCTGGGCCATTTCCGGCGACACAGCTGCTGCTCATCGGCCGGTGTTGCAGGCGTTTGAATCAGATTTTGTTTGTTTTTGTTAATGTAACAATGCGATTTCAGCTGGTGTTGTTTTTCCCCAAGCAGTTTACTGTTAGGGGTGCTCAATTCTTTCTTAAGATGTGTCCGCCCTTTGTGTCACTGCTGGTGTCCGCCCTTTTCCGCTGGCCATGTAGCATTTCTATTCATTTGTCTCCCAGGTCTGTTGCTGCTGGTGTCCGCCCTTTTCCGTTGGCCATCCCTCCGCGGGTTCAACTCCGTTTCTGGGACGTGTGTATTTCCGCTGGCAGGGGGCTGACTGTTCCGGGCAGCGCCCCCTCCATGCTTATATCTTCTTACCTTTCTCGTTCGGATATGCCCCGCTTCACCCCCGCCCTGCTAGCTTTCGTCACCAACCCTCGGCCTCATCTGAACTCGCATTTGTGATGCCTGATGCTGAGGTGTGATCTCCCCAGCAAGCAACCCCTTCCGAAGGTGCCTTGGCTGAAAAAAATGGAGGGCCATCCTGCAGGCCTATGGACTAGCCTCGATGAGCTCTGGAGCTGGAATTGCGGCAGTTTGGCCGACAAGTTTCACCATGTTTGATCCAACCAACCCGATTGCTCAGTTTGGGCATCTCAAGCGCAAACAATTTGAGCATTTGAGCATTGCTTGCAGTGCATTCCGTGAAGCACCGTCAGGGTGGATCGGGAATAAGGACACTTTTAAGTCAGTTTCAAGTTTCAGAAGGAAACTTGCAGCGCTTTCTCTCTCACCAAACAGAAGTCCTAAAGTATATAGCTTTTGTCAGTGACTGGACACAATGGCAGTAGGAAACGCAGCGTGTACAACTTCCAAAAAATCAAGAAGTTGGATGCATTTTCTTTGCGAGATCAAAGTTCGACCCGCTCACTTCTGCGTTTGTCAACGGCATGAGCGCATTCGCCACCCTCACCGTGCTGGTTGAAACTGTTTGTTCAGCTGCACGATTCTTGATGGATTTTCTCCTTAGCCCACCAAAACAGCATGGCACAATCAACATCGAGCGTGGACCATGACAGGACCGTTGCCAAACACGCCACCCACGCTACATCACGGTTTCTGGTGCTACTTGAAACTTGTGCGACGAACTTGGTTTGACATACAAATGGGCTAGATACTTCCCATGCCCCAAGACAAACTCGCGACGTGCGTTTGGTGTTGTGCAGATGTGTTTGTTGTATATTATATATAATATGTTCTTCGTCCATCGCGCAGCTGGGTTGTTCCGCAGCATTTGGAAGATGACCAAACCACAAGGGGAATGGGACATCGATTGGTCATGGAGCTGCAGCTTGGAGGAGATGAACGGATCGTTCCGTGTTTTTTCTCGAAAACTTTAAACCTTTTCCCCACGAATTGGGAACAGTGGCTCGAGAGACCAAAAAACATCATTTTTGACTATTATTCAACTGTCCCAGTCAGTCAATGGAAGGAAACATTCGAAGATCTGAAGATTGAAGAAGGACGTCTTTGTCACTCGTAACTAGTTGTGGTTTGCAAGCAGCGCCATACAAATGAATTAAACCCTTCTAACCCCGTAGTCTCACCTCTGAGGATTCACTGAACATCTGGTGTTGAGTCTCCCTTATATAGAGCGAAACTAAAGCAACATCCCAGCAGTTTGTCAACACTGGGGTCCAATGGTTCTTGGATGTTTTTAGTGCTCAGATTCATACTCCAAGTCGACTCAGGCAGAGGGTCTGTTCTTCCGACCATTCATTTTTCACCTGAAACAGTTCACAGTTTCAAACGGGGTATTGGATTCTTGAGAACCCTTTTTTTTGGTGCCTCATCACCCTTCCAAACAGAACTGACCAGACGACATGATCGACGTCGAGAAAGGACTTTCGAGAGTATGACCCGGATGTCCAGGCAGTGATGGAGTGTCAAGGGAGGACCCTCTGGGCATGGTGGGCCGACCCCTGAACAGATGAAGATGTAGGACTCTGGGAACATGAAGACCTCCATGGTTGGTAGGCCCACCGATGGGCTGGTGAATTCTTAGCACTCTCATGTGGAACATCACTGAGATGATTTTGAAGAAGTGAAACCACGAAGCCCATGGAATTCATTTCCCCAACTACCTTCTGCCCTTCAACCGAGTCTCCTCAGATTTTTTCATCTCTGCGCCCACCCTGAAATGCGCCTTTGTGGGTGGTATGAGGGTGATCCGTTGTGAGACGCTGGACCTCAACGGATCACCTCCCATCCGCTTCGTCCCCATCGGCCGAACGGCACCCGCGCATCGCGCAGATTGGCAGCCCCCGCTCGGTGGCGGCCTGCGACGCCCAGGGCATTCGACCTCGGGAGTGAACGTGTCGCGCGGGGCGACGGGCATGGCTTTTTCTGTTTGTTTTTGGAGTGAGAAGAGTTCTTTCCCAGCTCAAACCAGAAGAGAAGAAGGCGACTTGAACATAATCAACCAGAGGGAATTCTATGAACAGTGATAAACATCGCTGAGCGTTGCAAACAGAAGATGATTTTCTGGAAGTCTGGAAGATGTGCTTCCGGAAGTCTGGTTCTTGGTCCTTTCGTGGGGTCGGACACCTTCAATTTATTTCAGCTTGGATGGGACCACTTTCGGTGTGGCTATCTCCCTGATCACCAAACGTGTTTGGTTCAGTGCAACCTGATGGCAACGCGTTTTGTTCGGAACACCCGCTGATATGATGACCTGTGTAGCTTTGACAGTCCCCCGCCGGGCGGGCTGCCGGCGGAACCGGAACCGGTGGGACGGACCGGTGGGGACCGGCAGGAGCTCGCCTACAAGCCCCTGGAGGTCTTCCAACTTCCAGGACCGGGAGACGCCTCATGGGAGGGACGTTATGTGGGACGTAATGGGACGTAATGGGAAGGTGAAGGATCCGCAGCTTCCGAAGCATCATGAGTGGGATGGGATGTAGTTGGAGATCGAGTGATTTTCTTTGACTTCTACCTGGAAACCCAAACAACCAGAAACAAATGGTTGTTCCAATATGGCAATTGAAATCCTTTAGATAGGAACTGGTTGTTTGGGGAAACATCCATTTCTTTCTGGTTGTTTGGGTTCCAGGTACAGATTAGTTTTTGCTTATTTTCATTGTTAAACTGATATTTTCCATTGTTATTTCTTTATTCCTGTTACCTTGCACGGGGCCGCCTTGGTACAGTCAACCAAAAAGGCAACAAATGGTCCGGGACGCTCGTCAGCTTCTTGTTGAGATTGCGTTTGCATGAAAGTGGATGTGCACAACAGCATCCACATCATCCACTCGTACACGTGGGAAGATATTAACATGGAACCTGAAAATAAACCTACCTTTGAAAGACTATTTTCCTCTACGCAAACTTTCCACGGCGTAAACCGAAATTGAATGATCATAGACACCATGAGCTATGATCAAAAGCTATGATCAAAGAGGCTCTTCTTGTGTAACACCAGTCGATGCAGAAGCCTCTCCTTCGAGATGCAGGGAAGACCTCAGCTTGGCTCTCTCTCAACTCCTCGCCAGGCCTAGACCCTCGTGTGGCCCAGCTGCGCTATGAGTTCATGGAGGCTGAAAGACCCTTGGCGGCGTAGCGCCGCGTAGCACGTGGCTGGGCACCTGGAGCACGAGGCTTCCATCACCTGGCCAGCCTCTACGCCGCCCCATCCGACCGCTGTGCTCACGGCGCTGTCAGGCACGACGGCAAGATCTTCTGAAGGCGGCGAGGGACACGTCGGGGACTCCAGTCGAGTCGCCGAGAATCGAAGACGAGAAGGAGATGGTTTACATGCCTGCATTTTCTCAAAGCCCATGGTTTACATGAGAAAATGCACTCAACATTGGACTGTTGTCAGTGTTTTTCAACTTGGATGTTTTGCAGCTCATTCGCATAATTTGGCAATCCATGGTCTCACAGTCCGAAGGTTTGCTATGGTTTTTTCATGGGGAGGGTCCATCGCAACCACTCAGGCGCAACATCATCATTGAGCTTGTGGAAGAGGCAGACCGTTGGGGCTCTCAGTCGCCAGCGGATCGTGGTGGATCACGGTGGGGACCTGCCAGACACAGAAGCTCCAAGTTTCTGGTTTATTTCATATGAGGACTCCCGTTTTGGGGGATCTGCCCTTGTTCCTGGCTCACGGCCGCTCCGATGCCTCCATCTTCTGCGGAATCCACGAGCCACAAGAATCCAAGCCCATGAGACCCAGAGTCGTATTGCACCTGAAAACGTCGCTCCAAACGCAGAGTCGAGTTGACCTTTCGTTTGGAGCTGCGAAACATTTTGAGCTGCGTTTGGAGCTGCGCCCAGAAGTTTCAGCAGTTACGGAGCAAAACCGCGGGTCGTATCCATCGAAGCAGCTCAGGAGAGGAGGCGAAGGCGCAGGCGACAGGGAGGTTTTGAGGGGCTTCTGAGTTGCGACAGGGCATTTTGGCACTTAAGGGCCGCTTAAGGGCAGAATCTCCATTGCAGGCTGGAGCGCACGAGTCTGTTCTGAACATCCTTCTTGAGGGGGACCACTCCGACCACTTGGCTGTGTCTTGGAGTACGCCAGGAGTCCAAGCACAGCGCACGCAAGAAGCATTGGCAGCAAGCGGCCATGGCGGAGGAGTGGCTGTTTTCTCCCGGTTTTGAGTTGAAAATCGCTTCGAAGGAACTCATGAAGGGGTGGTACATGTGGTAAGCGTGGGGATTCACTTGTCCGGGAATTCTGGATCATGAGAAAGTGAGCCATAGTGGAGCTCCACTCAAATGTGGAAACGGCATTTTGGACTCCCTTGGAATGACCTATTCGTATTCGGTGTTTCGTATTCACGCCGTCCTTCTTGAAAGGGGGGGGTGCTTCGCGTCCGCTTGAAACTGGGACCTTCGGAGCCGGTCGCACCTTGCTCCAGGCCCCTCCAGGGCCCCCCCCCCCCCCTCCGCAGCTCCGCTGGTTCCAAGCCGTGGTACGACCTGGGGTGGAAAGCCAACGACCGGTCGGCTTGCAGGACCGGAGCACCAAAGACGACCTGCACCGGGAACTCCAACCGCCCGGAACGCCCGGAGTGGAAAGACGTGGGGACAAACACCACTCTGAGCTACACCGATTTACTTGGACCTTTTCAAAGACATCATGCCAGGGAGACTTCAAGAATGATGGAGGAATTGGCTTTGAAAGGGATGTGTAGAGTGTCGAGACCACAAGAGTTTCGTTCCTGCCTCCTTTCGAACCTTGGAACCTGTGGGACGATCTGGCGGGGTTCCTCTCTGCCGTTCCTCTCTGCCGTTCCAATCATGTTGCACCCAGATGGTAGAGAATCTGGGTTGCCATCTGACCAGAGAGGGCAAAAAACCTCGAAGAACCAGGAGAGAAGGCACCACTTGCATCGTGGGGAGAAGGCCACACCCAGACCATGAACCAGCGAGAAAGAGGGACTGGCAAGTGGTTCAAAGGGTCAGAAGAAAGAACGTCTTGTTTCAAAGAGTTCATTTCATGTCGAATCAATCCGTTTCTTCCGATCTCTTTCTGAGCCTTCATGTTTTTTGCCGCCGCGTCTGTGGTGCGCCAGGTCTTGGCGAGACGGAGGCCCACCTGCCACTTGCTCTGAATGGTAAGAAGCATGAGAGATCTGGCCGCTGGGAGCCGCTGGTGGCAGCTAGGAGATCGAAATTGCTGTCAAACCACCAGAATGGGGTACAGTAATCAATCCTGTTCAGCCCAAACACTCACAGAAGTGAAGTGAACCCCCCGAAAGATGAAGTAATCTTTTTCTGGTGACCTCCGCTTGACGGTCTGGTATGGCGGTTCCCTCTGCCGGCCGCCGAGTAACCCTGACCGACCGGTCGAAAGGTGTGTGGCTCGGGACGGCGAGACGGCGTGAAGACCAGAACCAGCGTGGCGAAGCCAACTGCAGTAGACGTGGTATTTTGGAGGATTTCGGTACAAGGCTTCAAGGCCTGTAGGCCATGTACACTTTTTGACTCATCGCCATACTCACAGAGGTTGACCAGCTCCATGCTTCTCTTCGTGTCTCCCAGCTCCGCGAGGATGGTCAGACATCTCAACCCATGAAGAGCAAACAGTCTTGTGTTCTTCAAAGCATGTAGAACCACCAAGCCGGCGCGCCCAAACTTCCTGTACTTGTGGAAGACCACAAGTACTTTCCAAGTCGCAGTAAACTCAGTAGAGACCACAAGGCATGTAAAAACATCCAAAGCATGTAGAACCCCAAGAGAGCACCACATACTTTCCATGTTTTTACCGCACCTAACATGATCGATCTCACGGTCCGGTCGGTCCGGTCGCTGTCCGGTGGGTCCACCGAGCCTCACGGCGTTTGCTGAGGATCCCAGCCTCTCCGGCCCACCGACCACGCGCGGCCACTCAGCTGTCCCGGCCGGTCTGAACCGGGGACGAGGTCTACGGTCTCCGGGGAAAATGCGGTAGGACGCCTGCCGACTGGGCGGTACATGAAGTGCCCACCAAGCCGATGCTTTTTGGGTGCCATTCGCGACTCAAGGATTGTGGATTTGCATGTGCAGAAGGACGTTTGTAAGTTTTGTCTGGTGGTTCCAGTGGATGATTCCGGGTTTGGCCAGCAGAAAGCGCCTCTGGACGACGATCCTTTTCTGGTCAGTATGACTCTTGTAGAACCTCGTGAGCCTTTTCCGGTCAGCTCATCGACCGCTTGAGGCCCTACCCCGTTGCCTTGAACTTCTTCAAGGAGGCAGCGCCTCTGATAGAAAACCATAGCAGCAAGAGGGGATGGTTGGCTTAAGCATGCTTAAGCCCAGGGGAGGAGACTGATCACTGTTGGAAAGATGTGGATGATCGGGGGGCCAGAAGTGCACCGCAATTGATGCAGATCACCCTGGCTCCACACTGAGCCTTTTTTGTGGGGCATCATCTTGAGTATGCTGTACCCTTAATTTCTTGCTTGTTTGGGTCCTTTTCCGTGTTTGGGTCCTTCACCACGCGAAACGAGACGCCGGAGCCTTCCACCACGCCCGCCACCGCGTCAGTGCTCGCGTCTGTGTCGCGTCTCCTGGGTCTCGATGTGGAGCACCGCCAGGTCTTCGAGGAATTTTCTGCCAGCCGAGCCATGGCCCGAGCACCCAGCCGTGCGGAGCGGACCGCGCCGTGGCGCCCGTCCGCGGGGCCATCGCCCCATGAAGTTGTGATCCAACATCGGGGTGGTTGAAACGCGATGGCAGTGATTGTCTTGCTTCCATCTCCAGAAAGGAAGCTAGGTTTGATGTCAAAGAGAACGTCAGGTACAGTAACTCTGGAGTGTGTGTGTGTGTGTCAAGACACAAGCCAGAGGTTTATTATGTGGAACCTTGAGTTCTCCTCAATGGTCAATGGTCTAGTTCTTCTGAACAGCGTTCAAAGTCCGTAGATCCCAAGTAGATCCTCCCAGGTAGATCCTTATTGAAGGTTGTTGTAAGACTGGTCGTGGTCGCTGTCCCTCGGGTTTGTACAGCAATCCCGCCACCTTCGAAATGATTCTTCCACCTCCAAGGGGAAATAAACAAGTGCCATCAGGAGAGGCCAGCCAGCTCCCAAGACGCAGAGGGCCAGGCAGTGTTTGGGGATGGATCGTTTGCATGGTGGGGCAGTTGATCAGAAGATTTCTTGATGAAAACAGTGCCATTGAAAGTGATGTAGTTCTTTGACCGCTTTCGGAAGACCTTGGTCCTCTGACAGAGCAGTTCTGCTTCGGCCTCAAGGTCTGGGTTGTGCCACTAAGGCTTAAAGTAACATGTCTTTGCTGGCTTTAGCGCTCTGACTCCCGGTACACTGCTCCTTTTTCCTCATCATGGGTACGTGGAGTTCACCACCTGTTTGTAGAGAAGCATGCTAATCCTTTCGTGGACAGTTCACCACTAACCTGTGATGAAAAATCAGGGTGGGAGACCATGGTAGATTGCTTTGGTGGTCCGACCCGCAACTACAAGATCGGTGAGACATCGATTCAGGGTTGACCGACCCCGACACCCCACCCACTGAGTGACTCATGTTGGGTTTTTCCATCATGGAACATGAGACTTCTGTTGGGTTGAACGTTGGAAGATGAACTCGTTGGAACTCATGTGACCTAGTTGCTGCATGGGGCACCAGGTGGTCTTTCAAACCATTTTCCCCATGTCTTGTCTCGCTCCGCGCGTGAGAGGTGTTGTTACCTCCAGTGACGCCTCCCTCATCGAGCTCCTCCCCGGTGATCAAGTCACTTGGCATCGGACGTCTCGGTCTTCCGGCCGTCGGTCTGTGGTGTTCGTTCGCTTCGCTCGGGCGGACGGAGGTCTGGGGGGCGAAGCGAGCATGTGAAAGAACGCGAGTCGATCGCATGGCGACCTGTCTATCAGAGTCTTGCCCGTGAGATTCGGGCTTTTCGGCGTGTTTCGTTCGGCTTTTGCGTGCCTCCTTTCGGCTCGTGCGAACGATTTCAAGGCTTTGGTTTTGAGAGCTTAGTGTGAGCGCGCGAAGGGGCCCTTGTTTGGAGCAGCCCTTTTGAACGCTTGGGGACATCCCATTAGTTTGGAATTTTGCCTTACTTGAGCATTTTCTTCGGGATTTGACACCCTCAAGCCATTCGATCATCAGAGAGGACACCAAGTGCAAGTTGAGATCAAACTACTTTGCTGACAGCTCCGTTTCAATCCTTTTTCTTGGGACATGATCTTGCAGCCGCATGAGCCGGGCACCGCAGGCTGCGCAATCAGCAAAAAACACATTCGGAAGCAAAGGAAGGAAGGAAGTAAGCAAGCACGCAAACAATGAAGGAAGGAAGCACGGAAAGAAACAAGCGAGCAAACGAATGTTGAGAGTGAAGTGTGAAGAAAAACGGACCAGGGTAGACTCGACCCACCAAATCTTTGTGCTGGCTTGCCAAAGCGGCAAAGCAAGACGACGCCTCCTCCAGTGGGCAGCTGGTCCAATTATATATTTAAAACTAATTTTTTTTGTGACCAAAGAAGCGCCCCTCGCTTCTGCTTCCGCCCGCGCGCGGACAGCAACGAAGGAGGGAACAAGAGGGAGAGGGAAGAGGGAACAAGAGGGAAGAGGGAACAAGAGGGAAGAGGGAACAAGAGAAGAGGGAAGAGGGAACAGGGGGAAGGGAAAAGGGAAAAGGGGGAAGGAAAAAGGGAACAATGGGAAGGGAAAAGGGAAAAGGGAAAAGGTAAAAAGGGAAAAGTGAAAAGGTAAAAAGGTAAAAGGGAAAAGGGGGAAGGGAAGGGACGGGAAGGGACGGGACGGGAAGGGAAGGGAAGGGAATGGAAGGCGAGCGCTCGCTCGCCGCTCCCAGGCAGCTGCGGCCGTCCCCGAAGCGCGCCACCTCGGAGACGCAGCTGAGAGGTGCGAGGAAAGCGAGCGAGATCGGAGCCATCGGTGGTCGAGGCCGTCGCCATGATCCCGGGAGAGAAAGGGCAGAAAAAAAGGTATCCATTTTGTGAGTTGTTCAGATGTTCTTTTAGCGGCCCTTGGTGGATTCAAACCAAGATTTGCAAGAGGATTTTGCTTTCTAGGCCCTTGGATGGTTGATTGATGGGAAGACAAAAAGACCGCCTGGCCGTGAACAACCAATAGGTATATAACACGGTATAATTACGACTGTCTCACAGCATATCAACCACCTGCGGACCTGCGTGTCTATGATTGTTCATTGAACTATATATATTTGTATATATATATATATATATACGTTTCTTACAGAGCTGCTGATCCTTTGGCAGATGTCAAGCCTTCACATGACCACCGAGCACGTCCGATCCACACCCCCGAGCCGCATCGAACGGTCAGCAGACCGAGCCGCCCACGCCGCACCGCTCGCCGCTCGGCACCTCTGCAGACCTCATCCACAAGATGAAGACGGTGCCGAACGGCAACCACGTGGACGAGGTCGTGGATAGACTCGGGGGCACATGGATTTGGTGGGAGAAGAGAATGAGAACGCTCGGTGGAGGCATCTGGGATCTGGAAGGGTTCTCAACAGTTCTGGAAGATGGGGAGATCCTGACAAACCAGTGCCAGGTAACTGTTGAAGAAAGGTTTTCCTGGAAGGCTTTCCTGATAGAAGAGTTCCTGGAGAAACGATCGCCAAACCCTTGTTGGGATCGAAGCCCATGTTGTTTCTTGATTGCCAGGCTCGGGTCCATGTTCGGTCTCATGTCTCATCCTTTTTCCCAATCATCCAGCTGTCATTAAGACTTTACGCAGAAAGCTATTCTGAAGGCAATTTCATTTGTTCTGGCTCGTTTCACGCGGCAGTTAGATATTACTAGCAAGCCTCCAGTGTTCTGCTCTTGATCTGAGCTATCCAAGGCACCAGTCCTCGTAGACTGACTCATTGATAGCACATTGCCCATAGATTCTCAAAGGCTTTTGATTCTTTCGCGGTGCTTGGCTCTCGTCTCAGTTTGTCAAAGGCCCGGTCCCTGGTCCTCCAAAAAGCCGGTTCGTTGGAACAGGAGTTCGCGCGGAAGAGCCACGAGCTTCACCTCACCTATCCCAAGTTGGAGCCGGGAACCTCAACTCACGAGCCGCCAAACACGCCGAACGCGTTCGGCGCTAGCCGGCCAAGCAGGGTGTCTCTGCGGTGTCTCGGTGGTCGAGCTGAAGAAGGAAGCTGCTGTGACTTGGGGTGCCCATGGAAGGTAGGCCATCGGTTCATTGCCGCAGTGGCGACCAGGTTCAGGGACCGTCAACACACACCGGCGGGGGTGCGAAAAAAGCGTTCCGGTCAGGGCCAGATGGCGGCAAAATGTCTACAAGCTGCGGCCTCAGACGGGTTTCCCCACAAAGTCTTCCAAACTGCATGTCCAGACGAACCTTGGCCTTCCAGGACGATGCCATGCACATGTCGCGGTGTTTCTATCTGTTTGGAGTCCAAGCAGCGTAAGCCAAACATCGGCAAGCTTCGTCAACATCAAAGCAGCGTGGCCCGGAAAGAACCTCTAGAGACATGTGGTTTTTGAGCCCCACCACTTGACGCTCGCTGTGCTTGACCAAGCTTGGCTCGGCTTGGCTTCCATGGACGTCGAGACCGACGGCCTCCGGCTCGACTCGACTCGACTCGACTCGATGGTCACTCGGTGCGACGAGTCGGCAGGGAGCAACTGCGAATGCAGAAGAGCTTGACTCACATGGCGACCGACTGCTTTGATCGTTGCGACCTGAGCGCGAGGGTTGGCGAGGGTCTAGGAGGGTCGACCAGGCACTGCATGGAAATGATCAGGCACTGCAGGATGTTCCTTTTTTCTTTTAGTTAGTTGACCAGGCGATTGAGGAGTTCTTCTCTAAGAAGGCTATGGCTATCTAGGAGTTGCAGTGGATGCTTCGTTTTTGCCCATCCAGACCTAACCCGCCACTTCTTCCGCGACACCGACGTCATCCAGCCCCAACCCGCCACCGAACCCGCTACCGAACCCGCCACCGAACCCGCCCTTCTGTTGGCTTCACGGAACCCTTTCGGCGCTCGGATCCAATTAAGATCGGGGAGGTTGGGGACTCAGGTGCATGATCCGTGCCAGCCGGCTCCGGTACTTCACTTGGGGCGGGGGGAGCCTTTTGGGGCTCGGTGAGGTTTGATCATCGAAGAAGAGGAGAAGTATGAAGCCTCGAAGCTCCGTGAGGCCATGCACCAGCTCTCCCAAGAGGCACAGATGGCCGACAGCCGACGAACATCCGACGACGATCGAACGAAATGGGATCGAACCGGACAAAACCGAGGAAGGTGGTCGGATACCGTTGTTCTTCTTTTGGATGCGTGTGGGTGGGGGTGACTTTTGATGGGACGGGCTGGAGTTATTTTTTTTTGGGGGTATGTGCACAGGGAAAAAGATTAGGGGTCATGTTTTGAATGGAGTGCTTAGTGCCTCTGTACACCAATAAGGGCTTCTGGATTTGGCACCGGAGGGAATAGGAGATCTTGTTCTTGTATGAAGACTTTTATGACTGGTTGTTCGTCGTTCTTGCACTCGACTTTGTACCGCGGTGTTTTGGGTCAATCATCCAAGCCCCATCCGACGTTCTCATCGGACGACGTGAGGACGATCCAACCCGCGAGCAAAAGAAGACGCCAAGCTTTACGCCATTGAGCACCACAGCACGCTCGTGCGTGGCTGAGATGATGCCGTGGAAAATCCGAAAATCCCAAGGTCGCGAGGTAGATCAATCATAGCCAGCCCAGGAGCCATGGCTTCTCATCCACGATGCGTGGTGGTCTCAGTTCGGTAGGGTGTGCGGTTCCAGGGGCAGATCCAGGGGAAATCGTTTGGTACGTGCGGTTCTTCTTGTAGTACTTGCAGAGAATGGTCCTTGGAACCATTGCATGAATCTCACAGTCTCAAATCTGGACCATTGGATCATTGGAGAGTTTTTCCTAGACTGGTTATCCTACAGCATGAATTCTTGATTGTGGTGCTGCATATGTTTTGATCCCTCACATGATCGGGCTTTAAATTGATGGAAGACTAGGACAGTCTCCACCACATGTCGTACAACGTACACTGTACATCCCCTTCCTGCAAATTGGAGGACCTTCAGCAACGCCCAATGCCCGTATCACCAATCACCACCCAAAGTACCGTTGATTTTTTTCGACGCTTCAAGCAACACCTGCTTCTTCAAGGACCTTCGAGGAGAACCGAACCGTTTGGTGCACGGCATTCTTTCTTCCTACAGTGGATTGCATCATGAAAGCTTCACCAAGAACCATCATCCCCAAGAATGCTCACGCGGCCGGCGGGAAGGCACATGTGCTGTGCCAGGCTCTGCATCCAGCTCTCGTGCAAGCCATGCTGATCGAGAGGAGTTGTGGGTGGGAATGGAGGCAAGTGTTGTAATGTAGAATCTTGATATAACCCTCGCCTCCTTACGAAGAGGTTTTACAATCCAGATTCTTTTTTTTGTTTTTCATCAATCAAGAGTCATTAGAGGAAAGGGAGGACGATTGGAGGATTCGCCCTCCAAAATCCTCGGTGAATGGATGGATGCTCTCACATCCCCTGGCGGCGAAAGGCTTCGCGGAGGCTGCCAGATCATGTTTGAATAGGTCAGTGTCAAATAGCTATGGGAGTACACTGCTGGGAGCTGGTTTTTTCTCGTCCCCGTTTTGCTGTTTTCTGGACCCTTCTGGACTGCAAACGGACTGCTCCAGGATGCAGCCAGAGACAAGACCCTTGGCACTTTGCGGGAAAATGAGATCAAGCGCAACGAGGCTCGGCTCGCGAGATCCAAGGGCGTTTTTCCCCCTCCGCACCGAGTTCCGGTAGTAGTCCGGCCAGTTGCCACGGTCCAATCAATGTGGGTAGTCTAACAGTGCCGATTGACATGGACCTGTATTCCCTATGAAAAGAACAACTATTTGCGGTGGTTTTTGCTGCGGTTGTTGCAGAGTTCGGCAGGAATTCAACAGAAAAGTACCCCAGTGTTCTTTGTTACAAATTTGAAGGTTCTTCTGCCTCTTCACTGCTGGTACACTATGAACATTCAGGTTACCAAACAAAAGGGAGGCCTTTTTAAGGACCAGACATCGTTCTTTTTTCTTGCTGAAAGGTTGAAGACTCAGGCTCGGCTGGCTCGGCAGGCTCGCCTGGCTCGGCTCGGCTCGGGGCCGATGCGGAGGGGACCAACTCACGGCGCGCGGCGCGACACCGCCAGACGCTGCAAAAGAAGCTGGAGCATCAGCAAGAGGTGCAGGCGACTGGTCGGTCTGCGGCGACTGGACCCTGGAAAGTTGTTGGGGGGGGGATGGTTTTTCTTCACCTACGTGGTGTGAGCAGATGAAAAAGAATGGAAAAGGGCACCGGCAGCAGTTTTGAATGGTTGATCACGCGGTTTTAGGCCGAGTAGGCGCTCGCACCCAACACTCCCTTTGACAAACCTCCCGGAAGATGCTGCGAGCGACTCTCGTTGCATGTCCGGCATCCAGGAAAGGGTCGTAGAGCAAGCCACCGCGGTCAAGTGGAGGACCAGGGTTGGCCAGGGCTTGGGTGGGTGGGAAGGACTCGAAATGACGGTGGATGAATATGTGGAAGCCCGCACAAATGAATAAGTGTACCAAGTTCGGTTTGCTAGGTCAAGGCCTTTTGGCTATGATCAAGTGTAGCATTTTCCAACTGGGTCACGACCTTTTGACTATGATCAAGTGTAGCACGCACCAGCCGGGTTACGACCTTTTGGCTATGATCAAGTGCACCTGAAGCCCTTTTTACAGCAGAAAAGGAGCGAAGCGCTCACGTAGGTTATGAGCCCAAGCTGTTTTCGAGGGTTGTAAGACCACCCCGGTGGGATCGTGCGGATCCACGGGTCGCTGGCCGCCATGGCTCGAGCAGCTGGCGGCGCTGGCTTGGACTCTCCCGAGGCGACGTCCTCCATGGAGAGTGCCAAGGAGGAGCAGGGGGCGCTGGCGATCGAGGACATCGCGGCGAGCGAGGGTGCGCTGGTGGTGGCGTCACAAGCGCTGCTCCCCCATGGACCTCCCACGACCTACGGGCCTCAGCGGAGGGATGACGGCCGTTCAAAGAAGGACGGAAAGGGACATGGGACCTCGAGGCAGGTGGAAGTCAACCCCTTTTGGAGCCAGACGATCAAGGACGAAGCCATGCTCCGCGCCATGAGGCCTGCGGGGCTTCCGGACGCATCCACATCGACGGCAAGGCCTACGGCATCCGGAGGTGAGGAGATGGGGGTTGACATCCAAGAAGTCCTGAGAGCGGTCATGTCTCAGAATTCGATGCTCAAGAGGGAGCTGGCGGAGTTGAAGAAAAAGGTGGATGACTCCTACAAGGAGAAGGACCGGGATTTCAAGGAGGCAAGTCGACCTAAGCCTCCAACATCGACACCTCCGCCGAGTCCACCATCGGGACCGCCGCCTGATACCCCAGAGGCTGAGAAGGGTGCAGGCACGACCTCCCTCGGAGCGATTCCAGAGTTCCCAGGGAATGAACGACGAGGAGAACCTGGGAAGCTATCTGATCCAGTTCAATGGCCACCGGGAGTATGTCATGATACTGGACGTGGAGCTCCACCTGTACCAGAATCTTGGTTGGGAGCACTTCAGGCTGGACACCGAGGAGGGCAGGGGCAGAGCTTTGAAGGGAAGGAAGTGGCAGGGACTCCACATCCTGGAACCCAAGGAGGTATAGGACCCGGACGTGGAGGACTACCTGACTGTGCAGTACGAAATGGAGACCTGAGCAAAGGGTCACCTCTGGAGCAAGCTGCCCAATCTGTTCTGAGGCAGTTGGGCACTGGAACCTCGGACGGAGGCTGGGGCGAAGTGATCAGGTCAGTTGAGCTGCCGCCGCTCCAGGAACTGCGAGAAGGTGAGTTGGGATCACTGGTCCTGGGAGATTGGATCCAACTCATCTCCCCGACGATGAGGGACCTCAGCGCTACTTCATGGAGGTGGTGGGAAGAGGTGATGCAGGGGGCCATGGTGGCCTATCGTGAGTGGCTTCGTGCAGAACCAGTTCAACGGCTTCACATCAAGGCGGAGGTGCCCCGAGAGTGCAACACCGTGTGGAGCAGGCTGGAGCAACGAGGACAGCTCATGCTTCTGAATGCAGTGCCGGCATCAATTCGATCAGAGATGCTGGCAAATAGAGCCTCCAATTCGGTGGATGTCCTCTATGCTCTCTTCCGGAGGTACCAGCCTGGAGGGTTGGCGGAAAGATCTCGACTTCTTCGACAGCTGGTCGAGCCTAAAACACCGCAGACGATGAATGAGGTGGTGGAGATGCTCCGTGGCTGGAGGAGGAGCTTGAGGAGAGCTCAGGAGCTGGAGATTGCGACCCCGGACGCAACCCTACTGCTTGGAGCATTGGACAAGATGTCGGAGTTGGTGGGGAAAACCTCTAACCAAGTGGCCTTCAGGATGTCATCAACCAGAGCGACACTGGGAGTCGACGTTACTCCAACTCTCGAGACCGTCCTGAGCTTCTCGGACATGTTGACGGCTGAGGCGGAATCACTGGCCATCAGCGATGTTCAACCACCCCCGGAAGTCAAGCCGGCGAATCAAGTCACCAAGGTCAAGGCAATGACCGCCGTGGCGGATGAGAAGGCAGAGAAGGGGGTCGGGAAGGCCAGAGCTGATGGACGGAGTGATGAGAAGCCATGTCGTTTTTGGGGCACCGATGAGGGGTGCCGGAAAGGTCAAGATTGCCGCTTCAAACACGACTGGGGTGGACTTGAGAAGAAGGGGAGATGCTTCGGATGCTCGGGAACTGGTCATTCGAAGAAGGATTGTCCGACTGGGAAGCCAAGATCGAAGGAGTCTCCGGAGAAGCAGGCTGTGAAGTCCGTCAAGGAGAAGGTGACGACCGCCCTGGCGAAGGGGGACACAGCTGATGCTGGGCCCAAGACTGGGGGGAGCGAGCCGGTGGAACACAGCCGATCCAACGAGGGCGACAAGGGAGCGGGAACTTCAGGAGAGATGAAGGACCTGTTGAATGAAGCGACGACTTTACTGAAGAGTTTGAGGCCAAGTTCATCGATGAAGGCCATCCGGCTAAGCAGCCTCGAGGTCCGAGAAGGTGGAAGAGCGCTCCTGGATGGAGGGGCCACTCACTGCTTGAGGAGGACCGCATCAGAAGAGGAATGGGCAAGCGCCCAAGAAGTCAATGTAGAGCTGGCGGCAGGGTCAGCGGTCCTGAGATTGCTTCCGTGGACGAGAACCTTGCTGACCAAGGAGGATGTTCAGGTCATCGTCCCACTGGGAGTGCTCATTTCCTTGGGCTATGAGGCGGTCTGGGAGAAGACGAGATTTGAGCTCACGGACCCGACCGGACTGGTGTTGGACACGAAGGTGGAGAACTCGTGCCCCACGATCGATGAGACACTGGCGCATGAGTTGATCCAAGAGATCGAGCGGAGTATGGTAAGGGAGAGAGCCCGGTTGGCACATCTGGCTGGGGAGAACATTGGCTTGGAAGTGGACCCTGAGGAGGCGAAGTATCTGTCCGAGCTAAAGGACCTCTTCCCGGAAGTACCGCACCACATCCTCGAAAGGCTGCTCCCGAAGAAGAGCTGGACTGGAGAGGGGTTGCCTTGGAATAGGCATGAGAGAAGGCGAGTCCGCAGGGCGAAGGAGGTAGTGATCCACCTCTTCAGCGGAGACTCAAAGAAATTTTGGCAGAAGGAGCTGGAGGCTGAAAGTCGAGCGGTCCTCTGCATTGACACTGTCATTGACCAGGGAATGAACCTCCTGCGAGACGACATCTTCTCCTACCTGCTCGACTTGGCCGATGGTGGGACGGTGTGTGCACTGTTGGGAGGACCTCCATGTCGGACGATGAGCAGGCTGAGATTTAAGCAGCCGGGACCTCCACCCCTGAGGGAACGAGAAGGTCCCTACCGGTTTGGTCTCCCTCAACTGGACCGCTACCTACGAAAGCAGGTGGAAGATGACACGGTCTTGTTTCTGAGGCAGCTGTATCTTCACCATCGAGCGGCACTAGCTCGAGGCCCGAAGGTGACTCTGGCAGCGCTGGAGCAGCCTGAGGACCCGGAGGAGTATCTCAAGGCAGAGGAGAAGGAAGCCCACAGGTACCCGTCCTACTGGAGCTGGCCAGAATGGAGAGCAGTCAGAGATCGCTGGGGTCTGATCGAGGTCAGTTTCGACCAAGGACCCATGGGGCACTCGAGAAGAAAGCCCATGCGATTGGGAACCAACATTCCTAGGCTGGCCGAGCTGCAGGACATCCGAGGACATGGAACGGATGGTGGCGAAGCTGAACTTCTTGGGTCTCCCTCTCAAGCGGCTCCACTCAGACCGCGCGGGTGAGTATCAAAGCAAGATGTTTGACAAGTGGGTCCGAGACAGAGGGCTGTGTCGCACCTTTACAGATGGCGACAACTTCAAGGGCAATGGCCGGGCGGAGGGAGCGGTGGCACAGCTCAAACGTGGTGCCAGAACCCTTCTAGTGGCAGCAGATCTTGATGAGAGCTACTGGTGTCATGCCACTAGACACTGGGCTGACACTCGACTCCGAAGGCAACTGGAGTCAATGGGGTGGAAGCGCCGGCAGCTGGCGACCTTTGGTCAAGTGGTGTGGGCCAAGAGGAAGCTCTACAGCGACCGCCAAAAGTATCTGTCTACCACCAGGACACAGGTGAGGGTGCTCTGCCCAGCTGTCACGATGTCGATGACGTCACCGGGATACTTGGTGGAGGAGCTCGCCACGGGAAAGCTGTTCCACACAGCCGACATCATTCAGGTGGAGGACATGCCGGATGGGGTGGCACTGCCAGACTGCGAAGCGGGCATGATCCACGAGGTTGATGACCGAGAGGAGGTTGAACAACCACGGAAGAGACCGGGGAGAACCAGAGGGAAGGTCAAAACCCTCCAGCTGGAACCGGAGGTGGAGTCTGCAGATTGGGGGGAGCTGCAACATCGGGGGGCAAAGATGCTATCCCAGGAGCTTCAACTTCTGGAAGAGGACTCCGGAGAAGTCAGGAATGAGAGATTCCTGAAGGCGCTCACGATGGAAATCGAGGAGATCAGTCAAGAAGCCGTTCGTGCAGGCCGACAGGAGGAAAAGAACCTGATCGCCGAGATCGAAGAGAAGTCAGAGGAAGCCCCAGAGTTCCTACAGACACGGATGGTGGGTCTGACGGAGGTGAGGAGGAACCTGGAGGAGTGGAAGCCATCCATGATCGAGGAGTACACGGCACTCACCAATGAGTCCGAGGCGGTAGAGGCCATCAGCCAGGGAGAGTCTGATCGACTGAAGGAGGAGGCGAGGGCGCAGGGCAGAGACTTTGACCTTGTGCCGGCGAAGGCCATCTTCAGCCGAAAGGCCGGCACTGGAAGACACAAGTGTCGGGGGGTGGCATGTGGAAACTTCATGAATGCCAAGAGCTCCGAATCCACGTTCGCCTCAGGTGCCAGCGGGATCGAGGTGAGGACGCTGATCAAGATGGCAGCGATCAACCAGTGGGCTTTGGGCACCCTTGACGTCAAGACGGCGTTCCTCAACGCCCCTGCGGCCCACGACCGTGGGGTGGTGGTAGTTCAACCACCACGAATCTTCCAGGAGGCTGAAGTGCTTCGAGACCAGAAGGAGTTGTGGCTTGTCAGAAAAGCCCTTTACGGGTTAGTGACCTCTCCACGGGATTGGTGTGACCACCGAGATGGAAAGATTAGAAATTTCCAGTGGGTGAGAGAAGGGCGACCCGTGAGAGTACAGGGGACACCTCAGGCGGACATCTGGCTGGCGCAGGAGCAGGATGATCGAGGTGCTTGGACCACGAGGGGCGCAGTGGCCACGTACGTGGATGACGTCCTGATGGTGGGCGAAGAAGAGATCATCCAGGGGTTCATTGACCAGGTCAAGATGCGCTGGAAGATTGGGGAACCGGAGTGGGTGAAAGAAGGCCGAGAACCGGTGCGCTTCTTGGGAATGGAGATTGAGAAGAAGGGCCAGGACTTCATCATCCACCAGCGGGCGTACTTGGAAAGCCTGTTCATGGAGTATGACGAACAGGGGAAGGCATCCTTGGGCCAGATCAAGACCCCGGAGGAGGAAGAGAACCCGCAGTTGACTGAGGTGACCCAGGCCCAGAAGGAAACTGGTGAACTCCTATGGGTGGCGGGAAGAACGAGACCAGATGTCTGCCTTGCGGTGAGCATTATGTGTCAATGGGCCACGAAGCGGCCGAGGGCGGTGATGGCCATCGGGAAGCAGGTGAGGGCCTACCTTCGACAGACCAGGGGAGAGGCGCTGCATATCTCCTGTACAAGTGATGAGGAAGGGGAGAAAGAGAATGGCTTGAACCGGGTGGAAGTGTATTCAGATGCATCGTATGCCTCATCAGACATGAAGAGCCTGACTGGCATCGTGGTTTGTGTTGGAGGCACACCGATCACCTGGCATACCACACGACAAGCGTTCATCACCTTGTCGACGGCGGAGGCTGAACTCATGTCGTTGTTGGAGAGCCTGATCTGTGGCAGGTCGGCGGGATCACTGATGGAAGCGATTCTCGGGGAGAAGGTCCAGGTCAGACTGCACTCAGATTCGACAGCAGCTATCGCCATCGCAACTGGGACAACGTCATCGTGGAGAACGAGACACTTGAGGATCAGGGCAGCAGGATTGACTGAAGCTCTGAAGTTGAAAGAGGTGTCGTTAGAACACGTGGCCGGGACAGAACTGGTGGCGGATGGCATGACGAAGCAGCTCACCGGGCAACCACTCCTGAACTTCAAGAGGTCACTGAGGTTGAGGACGACGGATGAGAAGGCGGAGAACATTGAGGTCAAGAGAATGGAGCTGAATGGGGGAACACCGGACCCCAGATTTCTGAAGGTTCTCGGGCTGATGATCGTGGTGGCAAGCATGGTGACCCGGGCTGAGGCATCGGAGACCGCCAAGGAGGAGGGAAATAGTGAGTGGTGGATCTTGGTGCTGTTGACGGCAGCCATTGCGATCTTGGGGGACATCATCCTCCGAGTGGGTTCTGCGGGAGTCCAGCGGTGGTTCAAACCCAAGGAGGAGTTGAAGGTGAAGCTTCTTCATCCAGAAGCCATCCTACCCTCTCGAGGCTCTGAGCAGGCGGCAGGGCTGGACCTGCACTCCACTATAGAGACGATGGTCCAGCCAGGAGACAGCGTGCTGATCAAGACGGGCATCGCACTGGAGCTTCCGAGAGGAAGCTATGGAAGAGTGGCACCAAGATCATCGTTGGCAATCCGGGGAATCGAGACTGGAGCTGGCGTAATTGATCGTGACTTCAGGGGAGAGGTCAAGGTGCTTCTACGAAACCACTCCGATGTGGACCTCCGGATCTACAAGGGCGACCGAGTGGCGCAGCTGGTGGTCGAGAAGATCTTGGAGGTGAACGTGAACTGCGTGGAAGAGTTGACTTCGACCGCCAGAGGAGCTCGGGGATTCGGGTACTCAGCGCATGAAGATCTGTACCCTTGGGCAGAACCGGATGACCCAACCTATCAAAGGCAAGACCTCCCATCCGGTGGATCGCATTTCAGTGAGAGCGTTGAGGATGAACACCAGTCCCTGGCAGACTCCGACGGCATCCGCTGGGCAGACACCGGTGCGCGACGAAGAGGATGCTCACCTTCCGGACCGGCCTGAGCCAGAAGGACACCATCGAGAGCAGGCATCGGGACTATGGCATCGAGGCACTCAGACAGAGACGGCGCAACAAGGGGAACTATCTCAGGATCATCGAGAACCCTCTGATGAGCTTCGAGTACCCGATTCGGAACTATGGTGTCGAGGGGCATATGACGCCGAGGCAGAAGAAAGACGACGAGCCAATCTGGGACTGAACCTCAGCGCTTGGGATCGCTATATGGTCCGTCGAGGTCCACGGCGAAACCATGGAGGCACCTGGGTGATGCTGGATTCGGAGGGGGTGCACTTCGTGGCACACGATCCTGGAGACAGCCGGGGGCCCCCAAGACAGAAAGATTCAGGAGCACGGGGAAGTGAAGGAGATGAAGCACCACCCCAGGAAGGCGAGACCATCTCGCAGGCACAACCTCAAGGTCGATTGCCAAGGGTGGAACCACTGAGGCTGATCACCACAGTCGAGGAGGGGGTCGTGCTGGGGAAATGGTGTCATGAAGAAGAGATGTGGGACTATTTGAGGACTCCGGGCTTCCAGAAGGGGTTCATCAATGGAGCGGTCCTCAAGGTGATCTCTACACCACCATTGAGAACGGCGGCCAAGGACTCGTGGGAGTATTTGATCGACCACGAAGATGGAAAGAAGATTGGAATCCGGGTACATCACCAGACCCGGAAGAAGCTGCACGACTTCGAGACGAAGATCCTCTTGGAAGAAGAATGGAGCAGATGGAGGATGACCGTGGCGTGGCCGCTGATTGGAAAGAGGAAGACCATTTTGGTCGACGAGAGGAACGGCAGGAAGGGGCTTCACCTGGACACGTGGTGGGGATACACCCTCTTCCGATCGACGTGAAAGAGAGGGGCTTGAGCTGAGGCCTGAATGAAGGCCAGGTTTTGGACTAGGTGCGGCTCCGAATAGGTGCTAGCACCTAGGGGGAGTGTGGAAGCCCGCACAAATGAAGAAGTGTACCAAGTTCGGTTTGCTAGGTCAAGGCCTTTTGGCTATGATCAAGTGTAGCATTTTCCAACTGGGTCACGACCTTTTGACTATGATCAAGTGTAGCACGCACCAGCCGGGTTACGACCTTTTGGCTATGATCAAGTGCACCTGAAGCCCTTTTTACAGCAGAAAAGGAGCGAAGCGCTCACGTAGAATAAACCCCGCCATATCAGCAGGGATTTTGATTTTCTGGCCCTCCTTCGGGGTTCATTTGGATTTGTAGGCTTTGGTGGGTTGGTGCTTCTGCTCTTCGAAACTGAGTAGGATGCGATTTCCACCGGTCACCGGTCACCGGCGCCCGAGTGACCTTCGCCTCGACCTCCGGCGCGGCGACTCCGTGCCATCGGTCGACTCGGGTCCGGTCCGTCGCAGGATGGCTTACAAAGTGGTCGAGGAGCGGCTGCGATGGCGGCTCAAGTACAACCAGGCGCGTCCTGTCCGGTCCAAGCGGTCGGTGCGGTTCGGACGGGATGTGATGGGGTGTCTCTTTTTGGACCAAAGCTGACGACAGCGATCATTGGAATCAAATCGTAGACGTGAAGAAATCGTGAAGGAAGGCGGCTGACAAATCTCACTTGGGTCTGGAAGATGAAGATGCTGTGGCTCAGGTGCCATCTTCCCGACACATGGAAGCTGTCGGTCCCTTCTTGGAGTTCTGGCTTTAATCTTGGGGCTCTTGTCACACCGGCGAGTGACCACTAGACTTGAAGCCGAAAAACACTTCATCCTCCGACCGCTTCGGAGAACGATGCCCAACCGACCGGTCCGGCTCCTCCAGTCCGACCGGTCCCTGGCAGTCCGTGGCGTCCGTGGCGTCCGGACCGAGCAGGTGGAGGCGAAGATGCAAGAGCGCGAGCGGCAAACCATGGAGGCCTTCGAGCAACGCCAGGAGTACTTGCGCTTGGAAGTCCCAGAGGGGGGCAACCCAGTGGTGATTTGATGATGGCAGAAGGTGACAGATGTGACAGATATAGAGTGACAGAGATATATCAAATGTGACAGATATATATAGATATATAGTGATATATCAAATGTGACTATATATTAGCTAGTAGAGTGATTTGAGTCCAATGTTGCTGATATTGGTCTCATGAGAACCTCGTCTCTCCCTCCGCGGCTGAAGCCGTCTCCACCTCTCCCTCCGCTGAAGCCGAGGCCAACGCCAGGCCCGTTGCGACGACTCCGGGGAGATCCGGAAGGAGCGGGGACGGAAGAGTCGACTCGTTCGGTGGTGAGCGGAGGGAGGTCGGTGGGTGAAACCCTAAAATGGCCCTAAAACCATCTAAAAACCAAAGAGTTTCGACCTGTTTTTAAACCGTTCGCTGGTTGGCTCGAGGTCGGTCGATGAAACCCCAAACCAAAGAGTTTCGATCCCTTGTTGTTAAACCAAACGAGGGTGAGAGGATCAGCACCATGTCCTTGATGAGCTAAGAATGAGCTACTCAGCAGCTCGGGTTTGGTTGAGAAGGATCGACACTTTCAGACCAGCCATGAACAATCCTCTCAGGAGCTTCGTCACTTGCGCGACGTGGGCAGACGGCTGAATCAGGCCTTGGACGGTCCAGTTAAACCGCCTTCTAGGTGGCAATCTTCCTCAATGCTATGTTCAGCATCGAAAAAGCTGGTTTTCACTGTCGAAGAAACGCTTCTTTTCCCTTCTGCATGGTGGATTGGGTCATTTGGGACACGGAACAGCAGACTACGAGATGGAAAACGAAAGATCGAGCTTGTCATCCTATCTGGATATTGGATAGGGACTTCACGATGCAAATACGAACCCTGATAAATATGGACGGTTGATGAATCAACACCCCCAAGCCCTGGAGAGATAGAACCTTGTTGTAGCAGGGGTTCTTCATCAGTCAACAGTGGTCTTTTCGTTGGCTCCACAGGTGTCAATCATGAGCTGCCGAACAATCGCGCCTGGCGCGCCAGGCGCAGCGCGAGCGGAAAGAGGCCTGGCGCTTGGCGAAGAAGAAGCTTCTTGGCGAAGAAAATTGCGTTGCTTGGTCCGTGGCAGCTTTTTTCGTTTGGGGGGGAGGATTCCAACCCTTTCCAAAAGAGGGAAAGACTTCTAAAGCAGTGTAACTAGTAACAAAAGTTATAAGCAAGAAGACAGAATCTCAATGTTTGCTTCTATTTTATTCATGAACTTGCTTCTCTGCACTTAGTAGGAATTCAGCTCTTCAGCTCCCGAGCTTTTGCTCTGTGGTGCCTCTTCTTCAGGCGGGAGAGCATGGAGAAGCACCTTGCGCACTGCGGGCTGAAGATGCCTAACATGCCCAACGTGAAATCATAGAGGGCTCCAAAACGCCGTCATGTTCCTTCGACATCGCCAAAATCGTTTATGTCGATGTCGACATGGTCATTGAGAAAACTTGGTTGTTCCATGGCGACATCGGCATCACCCCAGCAGTGCTTCAATGGGTTGGATCCACCCAGCTTCCGGCGAGTTCGAACGTGGATGCGGTTTGGGAGGCCTGGCACGAACTCGCGCGAAGCCAACGCGATGCACCGGCAAACGTGCTTGAGATTTGTCCCCAGGATATCAAGAGACACAGAGGTAGTAGATTATCGCTTGGGATGAGTGGCAATGGAAGGCCTGCATGTTTGGGATCCCAAACTAATCAAGAAGTCTTTAAGTCTTTAAGACCATTATAACATGGCTTGACAATGCTTGACACATATATATATATACATATAATTAGTCCAGAATGCGCCCAACAACTCCACCTTTGTGGAATCGTCAGAGTTCCAGCATTCAGTTTCTTGGAAGTCTTCGTCTTCGTTGAATATATGACCATTTTTCGAATATTTGATTGGAGCCAGATAATATTTGAGGTTGGGCGGAAAGCTCGTGCCGATGCTGCTAGATTCCGAAGGAATCTGCAGACCTATTCCGTAACCCGCTGCCAGAGGGGTTTCCACTCGTGTTGAGTGGATGGGCGCTTCGATTTCCACCACCAAATCGTTGAACTCCTGATGAATACATCGTTGATGAAGATCATCAACATTGATGGTACCTCCAAGATAAAGCCATGAGGTCTATTCAACGGTAACAGGTAACAGGGCAACCTCACAGTTTCATTGACAAGGGGCCAAACCTGAAAGTATTCTTGGTGGTTTTCTACGTTGTCTTGTAAAGACTGTACAGCATCATGTGCCAAAATTTGGGAGGGTCTCTACTGCACCACTTTTTCTCAGGGTGCTGCTTATTGAAGTAAAGCTGTTGAACACTGCCAACTGTGGCAGGCAAGGGAGATGAGATGAGATAACCAAAAGCACCATGTCTAGCCTTGACCACCACCTCATACCCATCCTCATACTCGAGTCTGACGCAGTTGCCGCAGCCCCTCCTGGCAGCACGACGAACCAAGACAACCATCGAAGCTCGCGAAGCTCGCGAAGCGACCTGGGCCGGTGGGTTTGACCCACCTTTTTGGGGTGGCGCTCTGGTGAGGGAAAAGCAGCAGTAGCCCATCCTGTAAGCTTTGTTTTTTGCGGCACGTCATCTCTGGTTGAAAATCCAGTACTAGCAGTGGAAACACTCGTATGCATGACTTGCATGACTTTGACGCTTGGCCAGACGACGGGGTTTCAAGACATGGCCAGAGGTTTGAGACTGCAACGGACGGGAGACACTTGAAGCTTTGCATAAAGCCAGAGCCATCCTCTGCTGCCAGGGTTTCCTGGCGCTTAAAGCTCTGGTGATGTCTCGCGACAGAAAAAGAAGACGGCTCCAAGCGGCAGGAGGATATAGAACGATCCGAGTTTCACATGGAGTTAACTACCACTAGAATCACTAGGACGATGGTCAAATTTAACCAAGAGTTCTGCGGCAGGATATGTGGGTGTGTATGATCCGCAAAATCCTCATGTAAGGGATGGTTGAAGTGAAGAGCTTTTCCAAACGCTCCAGATGTCGAAAGACACCATTCCTCTCCGTTTTTGGCTTCAAAGAATTTCAAAGGAATTTTCATGTTCTTCTGACTCGTGCTTAGTAGAGAATGGGGGAGCCACCTCCTTCATTGCCTGCTTTCATTGCACAACAGTCCTGCCCTGCCTCCGCTCCTGGTGGCGACCGCGCCGCACCGCGACGTACCTGGTGCCACACGTCGCCACACGGCTGTGGCTCTCGGGCGCCTGGGGTTCCACCGAGGTGTCGGACGCCCAAAACGCGAAACCAAAAATGCGATGGTCTCCAACCGACCAGAGGCCTCCAACTTACCAACGGCCTCCAACCGACAGCGTTTGGGCCTCCAACCGATCGATCCGACGTTGGGGACGGAACCTGTGGGGCGATTTGGCGTATCTGCAGGAATCTGCAGAGGTATCAAGTCTGAAACCCATTTCTGCTGCCGTTGCGGTCGGCTCAGCCGTCCTCGGCTCGCCCCATTTTTGGTTGCGTGGGGGATGGCGCATAAGTCCAACCCCTACAAGAAGGCCTGGACCTGGGATGACAATTTGTTGTACTGCATTTCCAATAGGTTAAAGATGCTAAAGAGACACTAGTTCGAGTTCCGAGTGATGACAGACAATGACAGATCACCGAGTTTGACCGCCTGAATTGTGGAATCACGACAGAGGATTGCCAAACTTCAGTTTCGACCACGAAGAGCTGGTCTGAAGTACCCCCGTCGTCGAACCAAGCAGTCGAACCAAGCCTTTGTTTGGTCGTGCTTTACAGATCTGATGTTGAGCTGGCAAGGCTCGCTCCAAGTTCCGCTGGAAGTGGAAGAAGAAGCGCACCCGGCGTCTGCAAAAGAAGCGCCGAAAGATGCGCCAGCGATCCAAGTGAGGCACGGCTCGGCGGACCTGTGGGGCTGACGGGGACTGGTGACTGCTGAAGCGGCCTGCATAATAGCAGTAGGAGTAGGAGAAGTAGTAGTAGTAGTAGTAGTAGTAGTAGTAGGAGTAGGAGTAGCAGTAGCAGTAGCAGTAGCAGTAGCAGTAGTAGTAGGAGTAGCAGTAGTAGCAGTAGTAGTAGCATTGCTTGGATATTGTGTCAATGCCAAATACCCAGCCACCGACAGGACACGTGACGGTGTCGGTTCTTGCTCCTAGTAGTAAGGCCAGGAGCCCCTATTAGCGTCCTTGCTCCTAGTAGCGATGCCCTTTGCTCCTAGTAGCGTCCTTGTCATCAAATTTGCAGGTTGTGAGGTCCCCGATGGAGCATTGTGAGGTCCGCGGGTCTTGGGGCAGCTGGTCTTGTTCAGTTCATGGTGATTGAGTGCAGAGTGGGAAGATGGTTCATGAAGACTTGTGGGACATGCGCCTGTCTTCATGAGGACAACCAAGAGGTTCACCTCATGCAACGGTTGCTGGTGTGCTTTCTTTGGGCGGTTGGGTCGTCAAGTGCACCGGTTGTGTGATGGACCCTGCAGCACCTGACACACCATGGCTGTGCCATGGCTGCCCAAACAGTCTACGAGTCTATGGACAGTCAGAACAAAGAGTCGTCTTTTTTTCCGCCAGTCTGCCGATGTGGTGTTCCGCCAGTCTGGACTTGAACTGGTTTCTAGGAAGATCTTTTTGAAAGAAACCCGGCACTGAAAAAACCGCCTCTTTGATCGAACACCGCGGAGGATTGAGCAGAGCATCAGCCTTTCACCCGACGGAAGAGTTGACTCATCGCCAGGTGTCGCTGGAGTGAGTCGGCTGAAGCGGAGTGCGAAGTCGGTGTACAAAAGACGACCTGAGCGGAGAAGTGGGTCGTGGTGGGTCGTGAGTGAGGCATTTGGAAGAGGCAGCATTTGGAAGATCAAGCCACCGGATTGTAGGGTGATGTTGATGTTTTTTCGACGTGGCCCCTCGTTCCGGTATACGTAATATATGGGTTTAAAACATGTGCACATGGCAGCCAGGCATCCTCAAAAAGCCCAAATTTTCCTTGGCTCGAAGCGTTCGGATTCTCAGAAGGTAGCGACTAACCCCCAAGCCACTACAAACACCGAACCGAAAGGTAGGCTCCTTGAAGTTTAGGGATAGAACATGAGACGAAGTGGTTCAGCCTATATGACCACCTTGGTTATACTTGGTAGTATTGAATGATTCTGGAACTGAGAGTTGTGTGGTTCCTTTTCCTGATCCAGGACATGATTCTCCTCAAGTCTTCATTTCAAGAGGAGACAAGCCTTGTCTTCCTACCTAGTTGGGGGTAATCTGAAGAGGTGTCCCCACTAAACAAGAACAAGAATGATCGCTTAACCTTTCTTGTGTCGGCATTTGCACGAATTGGATTCACTTTTAGCCAATTCAGGCTGCTTCAGCTCTCTTCCTGCCGGCACGTCAGCTTTGAAGTTCCCCTTGATTTTCTTAGACTCTCCGGCCTGCACCTACGCGCTCTTTCAAGGTCGGGGACACCTGGCGGGTCCGGCTGTGGCTTTGTGTCCCTTATCATTTAAACACACCAAAGCTGCAAGGAGAGGCTGCAAGCTTTGTGTTCATCCCATCAAGGCTTGGTGTCCCATCGGTTGGAATCAAAAGGACGCAGACTTCTTCACTGGACCCGGTGTTTTCCTGGAAGATGTCTGTCACTTCCAAGTGGGGTGGTTCGGTCGCCGGTTCACCGTTGGGTCGCCGAGGAGGTCGGCATGGAGAACCTTGAGGTCGGCATGAAGCTGCACGCCATGTGGCTCAACTGGCGGTACTACTATGCAGAGCAGCTCCGCCTGCAAGTGCTGGACGCGTTATAACGACGGGGATTGTTTGTTTCGTATTTTTTATATATCTACCCGGCCTTAGAAGATTAATCTGGGTACCCTACTGAGATATTTATATACTATTTTATTAATGTCCTAAAGTTGGGGAAGAATTAATTGACATGAGCGAATTAGCTTCCTTCCTGTATCAACGTGCCTAATTGATCATTTGGTGGGGGGGAGTTGATTAACTGAAGCAAAAAGAGCACAGTGATTTTAGTGCAGGACAAAACTTGTGGACCTGGGGGGATGGCGGTTTGATATTGCCATTTTGGCTCGAGCCAACCCCCCGAGGACAACATGTTCTGAGGGTTGTTTCTGTCGCTCGCGTGCCGCGATGTTGCTTACGTCACGTCGGAAGCGGCGGCATTGCAACTGCACGCCCTGGCCGACTTGACTCGGCATTTCGCAGTGCCGGAGGCTCCTTCGCGACGACATTCGCCTTCTTGGTGCCCTTCCACCTTCGGCGCTGGAGCAGGCACGGACCGCAGATCGTGCACCTTTGACGGCGACTCACGCGGCACAAGTGGGACTGGTCTGGAAGCTGGCGAGGAAACACTTCAAAGCTTGGAGATCATTGATTTCTGCCAGAGAACGCAGTTGAGAGGGTGAGGAAGCTTGCAGGAAGTTTCATTGAAGGCTTGCAGTCAAGACCTGGTATCAAGATAGGACCAGATCATGTACTTTGGACTTGGGCAGTAGGACATAGCAGTTGGGTGCTGAACAAATTCGAACCAGTCAAAGGTGCCACTCCATATGAGCTAGTCTATGGCAAGAGTTACAGAGGACTTTTGGCTGAATATGGTGAACCAGGTCATGGTTACATCAAAAGTCTCAACGAAGGAGAGGCATGATGGCATCTATGCTTGTTCTTGGGAAAAGTTGAAAGACAAGACATCTATGTGCTGACAGATGGTGTGCAAGTAGTGCATCAGAAGAACAGATCAAGATTGGTCCAAATCCTTGCCAAGCTACAAAAAGCTTCAATGCCTATTCACGGGGGTATCAGACGAACTTTGGAGGCAGAATCATTGCCACAAAGAGGAGAGCAGAATCTTTGCCAGCAGCAATGCCCTCACAATAACCAGCTATGACATGATGGGAGAAGTCAACGCAGGGAACTTCTTAGCTAGAAGGAGTTTGGAAGATATGAGATCAACCACAGGACAGTTTCATCGTCATCGTTTGATGCAGCAAGCAGCCCTCCAAGGAGCAACCCCCACAGAGGGACCACTACCAAGAAGTTTCAAACCAGGAAATAGAGAACAAATGAACAAAGTGGAATATGAAAGAGAACAGGCAATACAGCTATGTGGTCGAGTTGATAGGAGGACCGAGGTACTGAGAGAAAGACATTGGAATCTACTAGGAAGAGGAAAAGAGGATCGAGCAAAGGAAAGGTATGAGAGGTTGCTAGAACTCATGGAGACAAGAAGGGACAACCCAGAAAGCATACCTTCAGATTCCTCGAGGAACCCCGTTCTCGAGAGGATGAGCAATTAGCAGAAGATTGATGAAAGTAGAGTGGACGATGGTGGCAGAGTGAGCTAAAACAGCAATTCGAGCGCTCACACTACCAAGGAGGAGTGTGAAGGAGTTTCAAGAGGTAAACCACAACTAACATGTACATCATGTACTATAGCTTTGACCTGCTCGCAGCCCCTTTTGCAATCAAAGAAACGTTCGCATGTTTCAATCCTAGCTCACAGGTCACTCCAATATTTTCCTCAAGGAACCCAAGGTGCCCGGATCAATTATCTCAGGACCCGGCCCGCTCCAAACGCACTCCTGAATAGTTTTATCTCTATCTTTTTCAGCCCCCCACTTGCAAGTGTTTGCATTATTTAGAAAACCTTCCCAAACTTGGATGTGAGGATCATCAACATCAAGAAGAAGAAAAAGAAGGCTCCAGTGAAGGTGCACTACATGGGCACCTTGGAAAAATCTTGGGCGTGGCGACCGCATGCGACACACGGTTCGCATGGGACGCCCACGCGGCGCAACACACGGTGGTCGGAGATGGATTGGACGGAAGGTTTCTTGTTGTTTTCAGTGTGGGAATTTGTGGTGATTTCAGCTATGTGGATATCACTATATGTTTGGTTGGTGAGTTGAAACTTGAAACCACCAACCAGCTAAACCCACTGCCACTCGAAACGGTTCGGTACGACAGGAGCCTCCTGGCGTCTACATCAAAGTGTCGAACACATCGCCTTTTCAGAGGGTGGCAATGGGATCCACAGGGATTGTTGGTGCATGTTGCTTGGAGTACTCAAGTGGGAATACCGAAACCGGTCAAACAAAGACGTCCACAAATCTCATTGAAGTATCATTATATAGGTAGAATTTGTTGACCGTGGTTCTTAGGTTTATGGCATGATTTGCTTTGTACCACATTGGGAAACATGACCTGTTTTATATACATGATTTTCATACCATTCCGTGTCCCAGCCTTACCGTTCTTCCACTTCGAACACTCCTTGTTCCCCACTGGCACGGCTCGGCATGGCTGGGCCACCAGGCTATGAAGGCTTCGATGCCTGGTTGTCTCTGGACATGCTCAAGCGCCTTGGGCGAGCTGGGCGAGGTGTTTTGTTGCAAAACAGTTGCAAACGCTGCAAGTTAACGGTGAAAAGTCACCTCGCAAGGGATTCGAACGGATATCCCGACCCTCAACATGGCCGGTAGGTGAGCTCTAAGCATGTGGTAGTTAATCACGGAACACCCTCATTGGAGTTGGTTCTGGCACCTCGCGCAACAAAAACAACCGTCGAATCACGCTCGGTGCCAGGTTCGTGGAAGATGAAGATGTCCCAAAAGGTCCTCCACTTCCATCATTCCAGCAAACCATGGACCAAAGAGGGGTCAAAGCACCCAAAGCCATGGGTTTTGGTGGATGGTGAACCCTTTTGAGGAGATGGCAAGGGGAGTGTGACTGCTTAGGTCGGGTCTCACCCATGACGCTGTGAGTCGAGGTGCAAGGCATTGAAAGGGGCCAGCAAGGCACTGGCCAAGGAGAAGGCGCCAGCCACTCGGCTTTTTTGGGGTTCGGACCTTTTGAGTTCGGATCTTTTCCTCATTCCGACCCCAAACCCGAACCACTTCGAACGCCTAGGGGGTACTTACTGCTTTTCCTTGCAGATTTGGGGTTGGAGAAGGGCAGTGCCCACTTCGCCGGCACCGCGGCGCCGCGTTTCGGCCGGCACCGCGCCGGCCTTCCGCGCGAGGCCAAAGTAGCTGCTCCGAAGGTTCAGATGGACTCAGGCCGAGCTGCAGAGCCAAGATCACCTGGCATACAGAAAACCCACCCATGTCTTGAAGATGTTAAACCACACCCAGCCCACTCTCCAAGATGTATCCAACTCATCAACCCATCCCACTTCAACGGACATGCCAGGCTTGGAGAAGGGCCGCCTCCAGGCGGAAGCCGAGGGCAAGTACGCAGCCGAGGCCGGTCGGGCGGCTTTCGGTCGGAAGACGGAGTTTTTGGTGGTTTTTGAGGCATCTCCCGATCCGAAAAAGACAAGAAAATATCTGAAAGATCGCTCTGGAAGGCAAACAACTTGG